TATATAAACTTATATAAAATTATATAATTATATATAAAATACGTTCATATAACTTTTTTCCCAGGACTTTTGATATTTCCTGCATATATTTATATATCTTCAAGGATTTCATGAAAAATTTTTGAAATATTTCAAATTTTGCAATTTAAATATGTATGCAATAACTTCAAAAGAATTTTTTTTTAATTGTTAAATCGAGGAATGATTATATCGAAAAATTCCGATATATTTTTTGAAGGCATTCGCTTATTCGAGCTTTACTTGACTGAATGTAGAAAGGTAAATGATACAAGTGCAATGATGTTTCCTACAAGACAAGAGCTGCCGCTTTTATTGAAATTGGTGTGTATACACGAGGTTCACAGTGCGTTTACGTGATTTCGCATAATATCGCAGCACACTGCGATTTTCAAATAACGAGTTTGAACACGCCTTTATTATTTACGCTTCGAGACGCTTTTTTCGCTAATGATCTCTACTGGTCCGGTGCATATAATTCTCTTTCTCGCCTCCTCTTTTTCTTTCTCTCTATCTCTTTTCTTTCTATCGTCTACCTTAACTATATATGCATATATACATATTGCGTATCCTAGCGAACATAATTCGACAGCCATGAAGTAACAGGAAGTCGGCTTTGGTGAAAAAATTCGCACATTTCATATTTTAAAAAATTTTTCATATTTTGAATTTACGAAAATTAAAAAAAAAGTACCTTAAACTTCTTTAGATTTTGTATTTCTTCAGAAATTATATAAAATTTAGAAAGAAATAGAAATTTAGTAAGAAATTCTGAAATTATAATTATTTATATAAAAATGTTGAAAAATTATATAAATGATCAAAAAATTTTTCGCCAGGATGTTCTTTATAACTGAACTATGTTATATTTTCTTTACTTAAAATAAAATAGACATTATAATTAATATACATTATAATTAAATGATAAAAAAAATTTTAAGATTTTTAAGATTACAATATAAAATTTTTAGGAAGTTTTCACACAAATTTTTGGCCTGTATACAATTCTAAGAAAAATAAAACTTTCTGAGAAATGTTCCAACTCAGATCCGAGAAATTTTCTAAAAGGTTATAAAATTATGTAGAATTTGTGAAAAATTCCGAAATTTATGTAAACGTTTTGAAAAATTATATAAAGAATTCTCAGAAAATTTTTCACCATGCTCTTTGTAGCGGAGCTATATTATATTTTCTTCTTCACTTAAATAGAATATTTTCTTCTTTAGTTAAAATAGAATAAATATATAATTAAATGTGTTTAGAATAGAAAGAGGAAGGATATTAGCATATACCTTCATATCAATATGCATACAAAAGGTTCAGCTGTAAAGAACAAATTTGAATCTGCCCTTTGCAGCCACGCGTTGTTATATAACTTTTGCATTTAAAATGAAAGGTGATTGAACATAGAAAAAAGAAATAAGATAACACGATTAAAAGCTCAACTACAAAGAACGAGCCTTCCATTCTGTAGTGCTATGAAAACCTATACTATACATACATGAAGGCAATCAAGGATAAAAGCGCAATATGAGCACTTTGACCGGCAAAATATCCAATATA